ACGCCCCCCACTTTTCTAATCCAAAATTAAGAAAAATAAATGGGGCTTAGCAAATGTAAGGGGAAAGGGATCAAAGTGCTGCAGGATCGCTTTGATCCCTGCTTTCCCCTCCACTTGTTTTTGTTATCTCCTCAGCTTACTTCTGTGTATAAGATGACGCTCAATTTTTAATCTAAAGATTTTAGACAAAAGTATAGTCTTATACACGGATTTCTAATGATGAAGTTATAAGAACTGGCCACTAGAGGGAGCACCAGAGACAGTCCTGTGTATAGCTTTCACTATTAAAATAGTGTTTTCTATTATCCATGTTTTTTCACCATCCACGGGAGGATTTGGAACCAATCCCCCAAGGATACAGAGGTTCCACTGCATATCCTTGCCTTGCAAAGCTGAGACTCCCTAGCTGGGAGCAGTGTGGTAGCTGAGAAGGTTTAATTGGTTTTTTAAAAAAAACAGGATGATAACTTACGGTGTTCTTGTTTCTTTCCGTAAGCCTTTCTCTTCGAGTCTGCTCGAAGAGAAAGGCAGGGTACAGATATGACAGGAAAGAGCGATGAAATTAAATTCTTCTTGGGGGAAAAAAAGAGATTCTTTCCCCCCACCTCTTTGCCCTGGTCTTGAGCCTCTTTGTGCTAGAGAAGCATTTCTTCCGAGGGGGATCCTGATTCGGAAAGGTGGGGTGGCGGGGTCTTCCTACTTAAGGGACCTTGGTTCCCATCTTCTGTCCCATCTCCCGCCTCCCTCCCCACCCCAGGCAGAAAGCGCCAGGCTTGAGAAGGAGATTAAGAAACAGTTTGAGGAACTGCATGAGTTCCTGCAGAAGGAAGAGCGAGCCGTCCTGGACGAGCTGCAGGAAGAGACCCGGAAGAAGCAGGATCTGATCGAAGACAAAATCAAGAAGCTGTCCGAGGAGAGCGACGTCCTGCTCCAGGAGATTGGCCAGCTGCAGGCGGACATGAAGGATGATGACATCTCCTTCCTCAAGGTATTGTTGGCACAGACACATCACCACCATGAGTCTGAGGGGGCGAAGCTTCTGTCTGTCTCGGTTGCATCAACCTCAACGCGATGCAGGCACAAAGAGGAATTATAAGCGCTCTGCATTAGAATGGTGATGATGATGATCACAAAGAGGAATTATAAGCGCTCTGCATTGGAATGGTGATGATGATCATCATCTTAGAATGGCAGAGCTGGAAGGGACCCTGTGGATCATTGAGTCCAAGTACTATCAAGGAGGCCCCGTGGGGGAATCCAATTCCCAACCTCTGCTTCTGCAGCCGGAGACCTCAACCTCTGAGCTGTCCGGCTGTTCCAATGTGGGATGATGCCAACCTGCAGAATTTAGCCGTAACCCCCCCGCCCTGGTGAATTCAGGCAGCTCTGATGTCAGCGGGGCAGTGAATCCTCTCCGGATTCTAGATCCAACTTCACAGGGGTTACCCAGAATGTGGAATGTGATCCCAAAAGAGGCTTAGGTCTTTGCAAAGCTGAGATTAAAACCTGGAGCAGATTTATCGCCCCACGGATATGGGAACTACTATCCAAAGGGTGGTTTTTTAAATCTGCAGTTCAGGAATTTGATAGGCCTCTTGGGTAGAGGCCAGCGGACGTCAGCCGTGCATCTCTTTATGCTTTCATACCAGCCTCCTCTCAACCTGTCTGAATTTTGCAAGTAGCGGTAGCATAACCAACCCATGCTCGGTGCACTTGGCTATAAATTCGAAAGGACGTAAAGGCTATCAGCTCATATATACTCAACAGGATATAAGGGCCTAATCTTGTTGAATGCCAGCAGAGATAGCACTGTGCCAGGAGTAACTCTGATCATGCTCCTGCTCCACTTCCACTGCAGAGTAGAGATGATGGAGGAGGCCTGTTCACAGCCATGGGCTTCCACAGGTGTAAGGAGGCATCCTGGCGCATGCATGCTCCATAAACATTGTTCTACTCATGCCAGGGTCTGTTGGGCAAACGGAGTGGTCAGGCAGGATCCTGCCCAAAATGTTTTACTAGCCACCTAAGATTCCAGGCATCTTGGTAACTTGCAGGTGTGACGTAGGCTTTCTGGGGAGGAAGATCTGTTTTCGGCCCCTCTTCTGTTATTCTGGTATTGTGCAGGCTTTCTGTTGTTATAGATAAAAGCAAAATAGAAATAAAAAGTAAAGAAAAAAGATAAAGACATGCTAGAACCACGTTTTTGACAGGCTTTCTGTTGTTATAGATAAAAGCAAAATAGAAAAAGAAGTTAAAAAAAAAGACAAAGACATGTTGGAACCACATTTTTGGCTATTTTTTTTACTTTTTATTTCTATTTTGCTTCTATCTATTACATCTACACACACGGCAACGTTTCTACAACTATCTGTTGTTGCTTTGAAGGAAAAAAATGTAACTTCTGCAACCCTTTTTCTCTTCCCTCTCCCCTGCCTTTTCTCCCCCAGAAACACAAGAACCGGAAACGCAGGTAAGCGGTTGAGTTTTTCAATCAGGGTAGCTGGTGGTGGTTGGAAGCCGGGAACCTGATGTCTGAAAGAGGTCTCGGGCATCCCCATTTCAGCAGCAAGCTGCCCATGATGAAACCAACATGAGAAATGGCGGGCACGCTGGGCTGGCATGCCAGGCAGTCCTTGGCACTGGGATTCCTTTGGCCACGGTTCTCGTTCCCTCTGTGGGCGAGTCGATGAAACCTTGCCAGTGGTGGGCTCCCAGGTTTGATTGCTGTCACCTTAATTTTCTGAAAGGGGAAGCTACCCCCAGCCCCGGAGCTCTTTCTCTCGAGTAACAGGGCTGAGGCTGATGCCTGGCACGTTCGTGCCAGCTCATCTGAACACAGGCGCCTTCCATGCCTTCGCACCGGGCACATGCTTTGCCTCTGGTCTGACTCTGTATGTTTGTGACTTCATGTGACATAAGGCACAAGCCATTTCTGGCAGATCATGCTCACTGGCTAGAATTTTGCCAATGCAAGGTTTGACATAACTTGCCACCATTAATTGATGACGTGGCGAAGGCACATCTCTTGTGCAGCCGGGCGCACAATCAGGCACATGACTAAGATACACCCTGGCACCTTGTGAATTAGCCACTGTGATGCACACTGCAGGTGGTGCAGACTTAAACAAGGTCAACATGATGGTGACCTCCTTCCTTCCTTCCTTCCTTCCTTCTGTCCATCCATCTATCTATCCATCTTCTCTCTCTCTCTCTGGTAGGCTATACATTTCTTTCTTTCTTTCTTTCTTTAATCCATCCATCCATCCATCTTCTCATCTTCTCTCTCTGTCTCTGGTAGGCTATACGGATTAGTGATAAACACTACTCTGAGTGTTTTACATCTAGGGTAACACAAACCTGAAACAAAACAAATAAAAAATGTAATAAAAACAAACACCACCTATAATAAGTACACAACCATTAACTGAATCCATAAAAAAGCCGAAAACGATGACAAAACAGGCACCCTAAAGATAATTCATCCTACTGTGTTAGAAGAGGATGCTGTTCAAGGCTTCCGTTTTGAGCATCCTTTTGAAGACGGTGAGGGAGGAGGCTGAGGGTAGCTCCCACCGAGAGGCCTTTTTAAAGGAAAGGGGCCACAACCAAGACGGCCCTGATTCTGGGTGATGACTTCGCCCCCCCCCATGCGGCAACCCTGAGGTGAAGGGCCTGGGAGGAACAGTTGGCATGTTTGGGGACCAGTGCTCCTATAAGTACCAAATGAAGGACGTTGGGTTCTTTTTAACCTTCTGTGTCGGGACTTTCTCCCCTCAGAATTGCCTGGACGATAGAGCAGCCCGAAGCCATTCCACTGGGGACTCTGGTGGAAGTGACAAAGTACCTGGATTCTTTGCAGTATAATGTGTGGAAAAAGATGCTGGATATCATTGAAGCAGGTAGGTTTCCGAGGGCACCGGCTGAGAAGGATGGAACACGTGTGTCCAGGGATAACTCCTTGCAGAGAAGCCCTCGAGCACCTGTCCTCCTTTTTTTCGTGAACATGACATGTCCCTGTTTAAGGCATAGAATGAACTTCCTCTAATTTCTCACCCCTTCTTGTGCTCCCTGATACACCAGGTCCCTAAGAAAAGACCCACAGTCCTTACAACCAAATACCAGCTCACTTTCTGCTCTAAAATAGATTGGAATTCCTTACAAATAAAAATCATGGATCTTGGGAAGATCATGAAAACTAAAGCTGGGAATCAAAGCCATATTACCATCTTTTTATAAGATACCTGTGAAACCCTTGCTAACTTTGACTCAAAAAGAAAGGGTGTTTTAAAATCAAATCAGGCCCCTCTCTTTAAGAATAAAAGACATTTTTATTTGAGCTGGTATCCATTTAGGCAAGACGTTCACAAAGCAAATAGAGATGTTAGGGTACCAGAAACATTCAGAGTCGAATGGCATCGATTGTAAGAGGAAAAGGACAGCTAAATTGATGTATTTGAAGTTTTCTCTGGACTCACTGGAGTAAGATGGTAGGAGGTTTTAAGGAAGATCTCCACTCCATATGATAGCCCTCTTCAAATCTGTGGAAAAAGATGCTGGATATCATTGAAGCAGGTAGGTTTCCGAGGGCACCGGTTGAGGAGGATGGAACACGTGTGTCCAGGGATAACTCCTTGCAGAGAAGCCCTCGAGCACCTGTCCTCCTTTTTTTCGTGAACATGACATGTCCCTGTTTAAGGCATAGAATGAACTTCCTCTAATTTCTCACCCCTTCTTGTGCTCCCTGATACACCAGGTCCCTAAGAAAAGACCCACAGTCCTTACAACCAAATACCAGCTCACTTTCTGCTCTAAAATAGATTGGAATTCCTTACAAATAAAAATCATGGATCTTGGGAAGATCATGAAAACTAAAGCTGGGAATCAAAGCCATATTACCATCTTTTTATAAGATACCTGTGAAACCCTTGCTAACTTTGACTCAAAAAGAAAGGGTGTTTTAAAATCAAACCAGGCCCCTCTCTTTAAGAATAAAACACATTTTTTTATTTGAGCTGGTATCCATTTAGGCAAGACGTTCACAAAGCAAATAGAGATGTTAGGGTACCAGAAACATTCAGAGTCGAATGGCATCGATTGTAAGAGGAAAAGGACAGCTAAATTGATGTATTTGAAGTTTTCTCTGGACTCACTGGAGTAAGATGGTAGGAGGTTTTAAGGAAGATCTCCACTCCATATGATAGCCCTCTTCAAATCCTTGAAAGGTAGTCCTATAGAGGAGGGGCAGGATCCGTTCTCCATCATCCCCAAGTGCAGGACACTTGGGCTGAAGTGACAGGAAGCCAAATTTCGGTCGACTATCGGGAAACTTCCTAACTGTTAGAGCAGTACGATGATGGAACAAATAACCTCGGAAGGTGGTGAGTGCTCCAACGCTGGAGGCCTTCAAGTGAAATTTGGACCACCACCTGGCAGATCTCCTTTGATTTGCCTTCTTGTGCTGATCAGGGAGGGTTGGACTGGATGGCCTTAAGAGGCCCCTTCCAACTCAGCGGTTTCACTGGAACAGTAGAGGTGCAATAAAAGTTGGGTTTTGTTTGAGCAAAGTTGCTCTGGAGGGGGCGGGATGAAACAATGAGGTTCTAGGGAACGTGAACCAGTTGACTCAAAAAGAAAGGGTGTTTTAAAATCAAACCAGGCCCCTCTCTTTAAGAATAAAACACATTTTTTTATTTGAGCTGGTATCCATTTAGGCAAGACGTTCACAAAGCAAATAGAGATGTTAGGGTACCAGAAACATTCAGAGTCGAATGGCATCGATTGTAAGAGGAAAAGGACAGCTAAATTGATGTATTTGAAGTTTTCTCTGGACTCACTGGAGTAAGATGGTAGGAGGTTTTAAGGAAGATCTCCACTCCATATGATAGCCCTCTTCAAATCCTTGAAAGGTAGTCCTATAGAGGAGGGGCAGGATCCGTTCTCCATCATCCCCAAGTGCAGGACACTTGGGCTGAAGTGACAGGAAGCCAAATTTCGGTCGACTATCCTTAATTTTTGGTGATTTTTTGTTTTCCCTATTTAAATGCATTGAACTGTCCGTTCAATTGATTTAAATGGGGAAAATAAAAAAATCACCAAAAATTAATGAAGACTCAGAACAAAACCAAATTAAGTTTGCACATGTTTCACAAGGTGCACTATGGAATCCAAGCATTTAAAACAGGTTTCAAACATTTTAAGATACTTTTAAATGAGCAAAAAGGGACATCATTAAGTGAAATTCCCTCAGAGAGAACATCGTTAAACAATGGGGGAAATTCCTCAAAAAAACCCATCGCTGTGTGAATTCATCGTTGGTACGAAGCAATCGTGCGAGGCACCACTGTATAGGTTTTTGCGCCCAGCAGAGGAAATGGCTCAAGGTTTGCTCTGTGGTGGCAAAACTGCACCTCTGCTCCCTGGTCCTGTATGGGTTTGGGTGAAGAAGAATCTCATATGGCTTGGTTAGGGCCCGAAGTAGCTCATTGTGGCCACTAGAGGGCAGCTGTGGCTAGTTAGCCTCATCATTGCATCTACACTTTATAGATAAATGTGGATTAAATGCCAAACTGACCAGACGGTTGGCGGTTCCCTTAATTTTGTCTTGTGGGTGGAGCAGCGTAGCTCTTAGGCAGTCTTTTCTGCTGCTTGTTCCCGAACGGTTTCAGGCTTTATGGCTCAAAACCGGCACTTTGAATCAGGCTTGGAAACGCATTAACTGGTGCAGTCTTTATAGAACTGATGCTACTTATCTGGAGTGTCGGGGGGGGGCATTAACATCCAGGCATCTGCATTCTGCACTCTCTGGTTTTCAGGTGACTTCAAAGACAGTTTCCACCCATAGTGGTTTAGGCTCAGCGAACGGGAACATGACTCAGTTGTGGCAACCGTGGCAGAATGTGCCTTCTGGAGACCATGGCAGGCGCCAGATTAGGCTCCGAGTCGCCAGGCCCCAAGCCACCCACGTCATCCACACACAGACAAGGGCTGGACTATGAGACATGCACACGCACACCCCCATGCGGCTATGAATGTGGCCGTTTGGGGTGGGGTGGGGGGACTGAAACCCCATTCTTTCTGCCCAGGTCAGTTTGGTGTCTGAGCAACAGAAAGAATATCTCCAATAATCATCGTAGCCAAAAAAAAAAGCCCCTGGTTTAAGTCTGGGTCCTCCCTTTAGAATCTATGCATTGCCTTGTTGAATCACTACTAAGGCTGTGTTAATCATAACAGTCATCATCTTAGAATGGCAAAAGCTAGAAGGGACCCGATAGATCATCAAGTCCAGCCCCGGTCAAGAAGGATCGTTGAGGGAATCGAACCCCCAACCTCTGGCTCTGTGGTTCAGTACCTAAACCACTGAGCTATTCCCTCCGTTCATTGAGAGTCCTCTGATGAAAATGGCATGTTAAACCAGAGGTCCCCAACCCCTGGTCCATGGCCCGGTGCCAGTCCGTGGCTTGAGCCAGACTGGGCCGCAGACACAGACCTCCTGCCTCACCCCCCCGCACGTACTCACCCCCGCACAGCCTGTTTGTGCATGCATGCCCGCGCAAGCATCACACTGCCATTTTTGCATGCGTGCCTGCACGAGTGCCATGCTGCTGTTTGCACATGTGCATGCGCTCGTTCATGCAAGTGCATGAGCATGGGGGTGCCCCACTTTCCCTGCCGGTCCGCGGGGTTAAAAAGGTTGGGGACCCCTGTTTTAAACAATAAGAGGTGGATGATGTGGCCATGCTGGCCCCTCAACTCCTGATGTTCTAGAGCGAGCTTTGCTCCGGTAGGACTCCTCTTCTCATTCACATGGGCCAAGTTCCCCTGCCGTCCCTTTAAAAAAAACCAAACCCACCGCAGTTCTGAGTGGGACAGTGAAAATAGGGAAGGAAATGCAGCGTGGCTCTTAAGAAGTTTCAGATTATGTGGGGCCTGGATTCTAATCATGACTAGCAGCTAGACAGATGGTCAGTCACACAGGGAATTTGAAGGTGGAGACCGGCTTTGTCCCCCATATCTAGTAAGCTGCCTCTATCTATGGACTCTCTGTTTAGCATTTATCTCTGTTATCCCAAAGCGGATGAGCTTTAAAGTCTGTAAAGCCTGAACAGGAATTCACTTGTGTATTAAAAAGGCCCTCTCTTATGGCGCCGGTTTTGTTTTTCAGTCCCCTTCAGCTTTGATCCCAACACTTCGGCCAGCTGGCTGGAAGTCTCCGATGATCTCACCAGCATCAGCCCCTGTAATTACAAGCTGATGGTGGAGGTCCCGGAGCGTTTCTCCACGGGGATGCCGTGCGTCCTGGGTTCGAAAAGCTATTCGAAAGGCTCCCACTCGTGGGAGGTGGACATCGGCGGCACGGAGTACTGGTACGTCGGCGTGGCCAGGAAGTCCTGCGGCTACTACTGGAGCTTCGGGTGCGATTCCTTCCTGGGTCTCGGGTATATGTACCACATGCAGGGTACCAAGAGCAAGAAGAGCCTTTCGCCTCAGTCGGTGGCGTCGGAGAGCGGGCGCCGGAGGAACCTGAAGCGGGTGAGGGTGGAGCTGGACTGCGACGAGGGGGAGCTGTCGTTCTACGACGCTGAGCGCAAAAGCCACATCTATACCTTTCACGACAGCTTCGGGGAGGTCTTCCCGTACTTCTCCATCTGCAACGTAGACGCTACCGCCCAGTCGGCGAGCGAGCCGCTGAAGATCTGCCCGCTTCAGGTTCGGATCAAAGAAGATTACCCAAATTGAGCAAAGCCACCGGTCATTCTCTACTCCCCCCCCCACATTTTTCATGTTCATCCTATTCCCCCCCACACACACACCCCACGGTGCTCTTAAGTTCCCCCCAAACTTTGCCTGTCGCGACAGGCCCTCTGGAAGTTAGAATCACTTAACGGCTTTCAGTGAGATGCCAATTTTGGCTTCACGAGGGTGGGGGAACGGCCCCCTAAATTTGGATTATGGGGCGGGAAAAATAGATGTGATCCATGGGGACCCCATCGTCTTGTAACTGAAGGACGGGAAGAGTAGAAGCTTCCCCGGGCACTGATTAAATGCTCCAGTATATTTCCAAACCCCATGCCATGTGCCTCTTTGTTAAGGGGCTGTGCTGTGTTCCCTGGGAAATCTGTTCCCGGATGAAATCCACTGAGGGGCTCCAGGGCACCTGGGGTGGTGTGTGCGTGGGATGCTCGATCAGGGTGCATGCCGCCGGCCATTTGGGGAAGCCGGCATGCGCTTATGGTGGTTGGGGGTTTAAGGAGGGACGCTGGCATTCTCACTGCCAAGCCAAACCATCCGGCAGAAGCCCCATCCTTGCCAAACCCTCTCCTCCTCCTCCTCCTCCCCCTTCGTTGCACCAGGCACAGCGGAAGATGGATCCAGGCTGAAGGAAAGGGCTTGAAATAGATCAGGCAGGCCCCGATTGGCTGTTTGGGGATAGCATTATGTCACCAGCACCCAATCAGACCGGGCTGCCTCAGTGGGCCATGTGCAAGCCCCGGAATTAACTCCTTTTGTGGTGAGACCGCTCACGCGGTGTGCACCCACATCCTCCCGCCTGTTCTTGCCGGAAGACGTGAATCATTCCATTGGTTGTGGGCTTGTCTTTAGCTCCCGAGTTGCAGACCTATTTAGCAGTGGTGAGGCAGGCAGACGTTCACCCGATGGTGCTTCAGCCCCAGCATTCCTGTCTGAATACTCATTCATTTATAGAGCAGAGAACTTTTCCTTTGGCATGGTCTGTCTGTCATGAAAGAGCCAGCGGCCAGGTTGCATGGAGATCTTCCATAAGGAGCTCTCTTTGGAAATCGAGTTGCCAACTTTTTCACAACCCGCTGTGCCTTGCTTTAAATGGTCACGCCATCTATAGCCATTGGTCTTTGCTTAAGGCTTGGATTCATTCTGGGAGAAGCGTCGGCTTCTTTCAGGCCTTTAAGGGGCTGTTCAAAGCAGAGGAACAGCTAGCCTGTGTTCCTGATGCTCCGTGGGAATCCTCTCTGCTAGAGGCTTCCAGGCGCATCGTGCCCGGTTGCCCCGTGGCTTCAGAAGGAGCTTCCTCTCTGTGGCCACTGCACTTCGAAGAGTGCCTTCTTCATGCAAGTCGGCTTGTATGGAAAAGCTTATTCTGCTGGGACTTTTCTGTGATTCTGTGATTCTCATCCAGTACGAATCATTCTGTATATTATTTCAGCATGCAATCTATGTTTGTGTTAAGACTAAAACCGTTTGTATTAAAGGTTTATATTAAAAAAATAAACAAAATGATGTCCCGCCTAGCAGACTGGCATGAATTAAAAAGCAAACATATTTGTGAACTTGTGAAGGGCTGTTCCTTGGAGCAAATAGTGAAATCAACGGGATCCACATAAGCTTTGCAAGATATCATTTGCAAAGGTGTTCAATTGACCTTTCAATGCCTAAAAGTAGACTAAAAAGTGACTTGAGAATGGATATTGTTTTTGACACATCATTTAGAAATGATGTCTGGTGGAGCATTGCATGTAAGATGCCAAAGGGATGCTGTGGTTTTCAGAATGTGTCCTAGATCTTGGGCATAAGTCTTGCTGAAATAAAAGGGGGGGACTACATTACAGATAATTAATGTCTGATGTGATTTAGATCAGGCTGCTGTCTTTTTGGGGGAATGAATTACATATGGGACCTTTGGCATTCGACAGAGGAGAATCAGTCTATCAGTGAAAATAATTGATTTTTCAGAGTGATGGTTCAAGGGTCCCAGGGCTTTGAAAGTGCATGCGAGGGAAATTTTCAGGGATAGAAACCCTTCCAGCCGGAGGTAAGCTTTGGAGCAAATGTTCTTGATGTGCAACTGTTCAAGGTGCATGAGGCCCAAGTGTTGCACATTAGAAATTCCCCTGAAGTTAAAAGCCATGACATCAGTGACACATCCTTGGTTTGAATATCTGAAATAAACACTTGTGATCTTGGACACATTTTTCCTCTCTCAGCTTGCTTCGGTCACAGCTGTAACAGGGTAACAACAGCAGCACAATAATGCTTACCTATGCATGTCCTGTGGGACATGGTAGTGCTGCAGGTTAAACAACAGAAGTTTCTGTGCTGCAAGATTGGAAGACCAGCAATCGTAAGATCAAATCCATGCAACAGAGGGAGCTCCTGTCGCTTGTCCCAGCTCCTGCCAACCGAGCCGTTCGAAAGCATGGAAAAATGCAAATAGATAAATAAGTACCACCATGGTGGGAAGGTCACGGCATTCCATGTCTAGTCGCGCTGGCCACATGACCACGGAAAATTGTTTACGGACAAACGCTGGCTCTACGGCTTGGAGACGGGGATGAGCACCACGCCCTAGAGTTGGACACGACTGGACTAAATGTCAAGGGGAACCTTCACCTTTATGCGTGCCCTGTGCTGTCAAGTCGGAAAAGACTTGTAGCAACCTTAATAAAGCTTTCAAAGTAAGTGAGATGTTTAAGGAGTGGTTTTGTTTGTTCCAATCTTCCGCAGTTTCCATGGCTGACCAGGGATTTGAACCCAGGCCTCCTGAGTCCTGCACTGTCATTCTACCCACAACACCACACTGGGAATCAATTCTGACTTATAATAACCCTTTTCGCGTTTTTACAGGTAGAGAATCCTCAGAAGGGCTTTACCCTTTCCAGGCACCCTGGGAACCCTGCACAGCTGGCCCAAGGCCACCCAGGCTGGCTCTACTCCCAGGAGACCCAGTGGGGGGATTTGAACTCGCAACCTCTGACTGCAGCTAGCTACCTGAACCACTGAGCTATAGAGCCAGCTGATGTTATAAATCATGTTCTAAAACAGCCAAATAAGACATGCAAAATGAGTACTGTACTTTAAAATGGGGCTGTTATTATTAGGATGAAACACGCCTTCTCCGTGGGCAGGATTAATTATCCTTGAGATAATCCCCTTTTCCTAGATGGTTTGAAGGATCTAGAAATGGCCCTTCTCTAGATTTTATTCCTGTGGGTGGCTTTTGCTCTTTTAGAGGCGTTCGGTGAAAACTCGCCCAGAAAATTCGAGGCCTCTCCTTCGGAACCTTCTGCTTTTGTGGCCTAAATCATGCCTCCGTTTGTAGGTATTGATTTTTGCAATCCCAGCCTTTAAAAACTGAATCTGTCCACCCTCCTCTGTATTACTGCCCTCTTTTCAGCATCTTCCCACCTCCCCCGTGGTATAGGCCTGAAATAAAACATCATCCAAACATGGCACTTCGATTTTTGGGGAGGAGGAATGGGAGTGAGGCTATTTAAGTCTAACATTAAAAAAAATGTAAAACAATTCAGGAAACAACTTTTTCCTCTTGCAGCCTGCCTTCCCTGGAAAAGTGGCTGGCCAAGCCGTTCACCACAGTGCCCCTCCCTGTGTTCGTTAGTGACACAATCGCCTGGTGTCATAAAACTAACGAAGCAAACGGGGAGGCCGCCACATGGCGTCGGCTGACAGCTGACGGAACAACTGGAGAGGCCGCAGATTCCCGAAGGTTGGCTTTCCTGGAAATCTGTTCCAGCTCCAGCAACGGCGAATCTTTCCCTGCTGTAGAGAGGAGCAAATTCGGGCATCTGTGTCCCTGGCCCAGAGTTGCCTCCATCGCTGGTCCGTGCCCGATTTCTACAAAAAAGAAAAAAAAGAAAAGGTGGCCGTCCAAATCGCAGGGTGGCCGTCTTCCTCCCGCCCGGGGGGTGGTGACCAGCTTCCGAAAAAGGTCATGGAGACCAGTCTTTCCAGGTTCAGGAAAACGGCCGAGGGTGGCAAAGGAGCAAGACGATGGGGGGTGGGATCCGTTCTCCATCCGTTCACCACAGTGCCCCTCCCTGTGTTCGTTAGTGACACAATCGCCTGGTGTCATAAAACTAACGAAGCAAACGGGGAGGCCGCCACATGGCGTCGGCTGACAGCTGACGGAACAACTGGAGAGGCCGCAGATTCCCGAAGGTTGGCTTTCCTGGAAATCTGTTCCAGCTCCAGCAACGGCGAATCTTTCCCTGCTGTAGAGAGGAGCAAATTCGGGCATCTGTGTCCCTGGCCCACGTTCTATGAAGCCCACGTGTGGACTTCCCTGAATTGATCGGATACCACATTACGTGGCGTCAGTTTGCCTCTGACCCATGGCAGGCCTATGAACGAGCGGCGATGACCTTGAGAGGTGGTGAGCGCTCCAACCGTGGAGGCGTCCAAGAGAAACGTTGATTTGCCTTCCTGCATCGAGCACGGGGTTCGACTCAATGGCCTTAGAGGGGCCCCTTCCAGCTTCAGTGTTCTATGGTTCTATGAAGCCCACGTGTGGACTTTCCTGAATTGATTGGATACCATGTTACGTGGCGTCCGTTTGCCTCTGACGGAGAGGTGGTGAGCGCTCCAACCGTGGAGGCGTCCAAGAGAAACGTTGATTTGCCTTCCTGCATCGAGCACGGGGTTCGACTCAATGGCCTTAGAGGGGCCCCTTCCAGCTTCAGTGTTCTATGGTTCTATGAAGCCCACGTGTGGACTTTCCTGAATTGATTGGATACCATGTTACGTGGCGTCCGTTTGCCTCTGACGCATGGCAGGCCTATGAATGAGCGCCCTCCAAAATGTGCGCTCCTCAAAAGCTTTTGTTAAACTCAAGCCTGTGGCTTCCTTTCGGGCGTGAATCCATCTCACATTGAGATCTTCCTCTTTTCCTGCTGCCTCCCACTCTTCCTATTCCTCTTTTCCTGCTGCCTTCCACTCTTCTTGGCATGATGATGTCTTTAAGAGAATTCTGCCTTCTCATGAGGTGACCAAAGTAGGACAGTCTCAGTTTCAACATTTCTGCCTCCAGAGATAATTCAGGCTTGATTTGCTCTACAACCCACTTATTCGTCTTTATGGCAGTCCTGGGCATATGCAAATCTCTCCCCTGGCACCACATTTCAAATGAATATTTTCCCCCTGTCAGTTTTCTGTACTGTCCAGCTTTCACCACCAATTTAAAATCTTAGGTGTTTTAGTATTTATTTGAAAACTTTTATTATTATTATTGCTATTCAATATTTTTTTGCTGTTCGGTTGCCCTTTGTGATGTTTGTTATTATTTTCTGTGGTAAACTGTTCAGATTGGCTGTTGGTCAGATAGGCGGTATATAAATCAAGCAAATCAATTCATTAATTAGATCATAATAGGTTGTTGGATAAGAGTTTTATGGATCTCATGGGCCACCAGGAAGCTACGTACTGTAAATCCTTTTTCTACTCTCTAAGGAATTTTCTTCTTCCTATTTTGATTAGACCACGTGAACCTCGAAATAATGTTAACACTGAAGCTTCACAATACATATTTACTCTGATTACTGTATTTCCCGGCTAAAACGAAAAGTTGTGATCGCCAGATCCTCACGTTTCTTCACTGTCATGGTTAAAAGAAATCCGTAATAAGGATTAAATTAGAGCAACTTCAGAGGATCAGGGGGCTGGAAACCAAGCCCCTAGGAGGAAAAGCTGAAAGAATTGGGCAGGTTTAATCTTGAGAAAAGAAGACAGAGAGGTGATAGGAGAGCACTTTTCAAATATTTGAACGGCTATCCTCCAGAGGAGGGGCAGGATCCGTTCTCAATTGTCCGACTCTTCGTGACCCCCACGGACCAGAGCACGCCAGGCCCACTTGTCTTCCACGGCCTCCCAGAGCTGGGTCAAATTCATGCTAGAATCATACGTGTACTAAAATAATGTGTGGGTGATCCATACGATTAAGTTGCCTCTGACCTAACAGCAACCTACCGTGTTCACGGTATGGGAGATCTTTAAGATTTGACTGTTACTATTTTATTTATGTGTTTGTTCCATTTACATGGCGCCTTTCTCCCAATGCGGCATATAAGTGGGTTTTTTTTTTAAACTAGAATTGGAAACAATAAATTATACATTAAATACAATTCGATGATAATAGCAATGGAATATGAATGATTTGGAAGATTTGAAACAAACGTAATGAAAAAACATCATTCAGGAACTCTTGTCATGACTGTTAAAAGCCTGCCCGAAAAGGGGGGGGCTTGGCCATTGGCGGAAGGAGAACAAGGAGGGGGCTAGCCTCACCTCCCGAGGGAGAGCATCCCATAACCTGGGAGCAGCCACTGAGAAGGCCCCGTCTTGCATGTGTCCCCATCAAAACATGCCTGCTCTGGCTGGCCATAGGACCGAGAGGAGGGCCTCCTCTGATGATCTTATGCGCCAAGAAGGCTCAAATGGGGAGATAATGGCCCTTATACTGTATGCCCCATGTTTTAAATCTTTTTGTTTTGGTCTGTTTCTTTCTATTTTTGCCTGATAGGCACTTCAACAGTCATGCCAAGAGTCTACCTGTGTACGGTTGTGCATGCAAAGCAAACAGACCAGAGGTGGGATTCAGCAGGTTCGCACCTATTCTATAGAACCGATTCCTAAATGTACTATTGGTTCTTAGAACCGTTTGCTGGCCTGAGATGAATGAAGGAGGAGGGGCCAGGTGAC